GTTTTGGCATTTGTAGTTTCGCGGACAGAGCCATGCGGCTGCGATGCTGCTCTGAGGCAGAGGCCTGGCGACTCTGCGTCAATCCACTGATCGCCATCAGTGCTGCCCTAGCTGAGTTGTGCGAGCCTCTGCAACACTTGCCCGAAGATAAAGCTTATGACTTGTGTTGGCGTGAGCTCGCAAGACCTCAAGTATGGTGGTGGCTACTAATTGATGAGATAGTCGCTCAGTGGCAGCATGCCGATCAGGCCACGTTGGACACCACCATGGCTCGGGATGGTAGCTTCATTGTCATGGCCCTTGATGGCCCGGGTAGGCGCATTTCCCCACTGCAATATTGCAGTGCCCTACTCCCCATCCAGGTGCTGCTGCTTGTGGTGCGCCGACTAGTCGATCAACCACAGGACTATCCGCACTTGGAGGTGATTGGCGCCTTCCGTGACAGTGATGAGCAAGCCGCAGAGGAAGGTCGTCAGGGTCAGCTCGGGGTCCGGCTCGCAGCCACCTTTTCGGCGGAAGATATCTGTCCGCTGCAATTGCAAATAGGGGCTCGGATACGACATAAATGGGAGAATGGCGTGGTTGCGCTTCACCATCCCTGCGTGAACCCGGACATCTTCGCTCACCCAGCGATTTATCAGGGGCGCTTCCGCATATACCTCCCGCTCTCTGAGGAGGCCCTGGGTCTCCGACCGGCGGCGGTACTTAGTTTACAGCCTGCCGGCCTACTGTCCAGTGCCTTGGCCAGGGTGCGGCAATGGACGCGTCAAGATGGCTATGACCTTCGTGCAGCTCTGGCGGTTTGGCTACCTGGACCCAAGCGGATCACCATGTACTACCCCGAACGATTTTTTTACTGGGAAGTCATACCGTGAAAGGCCGGCATGCGGAGATCATTAGGCGGAACTTCGCCGATGTTCCCATGGGCCTCCACAGAGACTACCCGCCACATACTCTCGGCCAAAATCTACGTATTGACGATTGGGTTGCTGCTGCCAGGCAGTTCGTGGCCTTGGGAGGACTGGCGAGTGGCCTCGGTTATCAGTTCTTGGGCTTCCGGCTAGTGCCCAATTACCACAAGCAATCGCACACCTACTACTACAACAGACAGCAACTGAAGAAGCGCCAAGACGCAGGCGATTGGACGTTCCTCTACACTTTCAACGACATTCATATGGATGACCCCGCTTACTTTCGCAGGATTCTCTGGGAGCTTGCTGAACATTATTGGGGGCGGCGTGCTCCGCACGTCCGCCTTGCATTATGGGGATGAGATGCCCGGGGTGCTCGGATACAGAGCAACTGCGGGTCGCTGCTTGGCTCAGAGCTTTTGCCCTGCCCTGGCCATTCGGCTACGGGCGAGTCCGCGCTAGGCCACACTCCCGGAGCATCTTGCGGCATCGATAGTCCTTAGGGTCACAGTTCAGGCCATACCGGTGCTCTTTGGAGCCCTACCGTCTGCTGCCACCCGACAGATACTTCGTGCCATTGGATCGCAAGAGCGCAGGGCCGCTGCCCAGGTGCTCCGACAGCTTTATGCGGAATATCACTCCCGCGTCTCTGCCTACTTGGCGACGCTCAATTTCCATAGTTTCCAAGCACGATTTCCACGTGGCTGCGCGACTTGGCGTTCAAATACGCACCACTATTGTGCAGCTTGACCTGGAGATTGTGGTTACAATTGCTTCCGTGTCCCGCTCGGCATACAGGACGGTCCATTGTCTGTACGGGGGGGCGGACTTCGTACGCACTGCTGACCTGCAATCTGCGCTTATTGAGTTGCAACCCTGGTCTTTTGCGTGTCCGGCTCTGTGGGGAGTACCGTATTTCTCCATGGAGCCAGTATGCACGCTGCCGCTTACGCGGCTGCGACCGCCGCTACAGGTACGCAACACTGATAATTGAGAGGATTCAGGCTCTCCATATAGCCATGCCCTTGCGACACCCGCCTTGGTGCGAAGCTGGGCGATGTTAAGGAGGCCCTGGCCGCCTCTCGACGTCGTCGTCCCGTGATATCTACTCCTGGGAAGCTGGGCCCCTGGGTATGTCATTCATTTGGCGACGTGCCTGACAGTCCTGCCTGTTGCAGGTATAAGCGTCAGGGTGTCCACACCAACCATCGGGCGTGGGCAATTTTGCAATCTCGGAGCCCATTCTTGAGGAGTGCATATCCAGTGCCGGTCGACAGCGGGTCCATGACCCTGGACCTGGTGGCGATGCTTTCTCGTGTGGCGCCCTTGCGATACCCACATGGTGGGAAGCTGGGCAGTGCCGCTCTATAGTTCCCGCTCGACCCCGGCAATGCCTCCCTCCGGGAAGCTAGCAGCTAAACCTGGTTTCAGGGAGTGGGTTGGCCTCTGCGCAGCTTTTCTGTCCTTGGTCGATACCGGTCCTCTGCACCTATGATCGCCAGTTTCAGGCTCGTCTTTCTCCGTGCGACACCTGCCTTGGTGGGAAGCCGGGCGGTGCTACGCAACTCGTGTCTTACGGTAGGCCCTTGCGATACCCACTCCTGGGAAGCTGGGCCTATCAGTCTGCACCAATGGTGACTCGACCGACGCGGCGCTGTGCTTCATATGCGGCGTCATTATCCCCACGATAGGTGAGCTTGGGCAATTGTGGGAGGATCCGCGCCCCATCAATGTTGGACGTGTTCCTTTCAAGTGCCGGTGTCATCCATCACCTTCTGCGATGTCTACACTGAGAAGCCATGCACGGGTGGACAGTAGGACCTTGATTCAACGGTACTCGATGCAATGCGCTCTTGTGCGGTGCCCTTGCGATACCCAAGTGGGAAGCTGGGCTGGACCGTTGTGCAATCCTCGATAGGCCCTTGCGATGCCCACCCTTGGTCTAGTTGGCCTGCCGCGTTTTGCTGAGGCCTGTGCGCAGCCTCTCTGTCACATTGCATCCGCTGGGTATCCCTCGCTCAACCCACATGTCGGGAAACTGGGATTCTTCAGTACGACGCCTTGGTTGGAGCCGGTGCGCTTGGCTTTCCTCCTTTTTGCCCGGATAAAATCAAAGACGGCTGCTTTACAAAGGGCACATGACAGCAGCGCGTCCTTTCCCAGATGCTTGCCGGGATGCTCATGCTTCTGTGCAGCTGGTTGCCGCTCCGGAGAAGGCCACCTGAGAGACGCTACATCCAGAAGGTCGAACGATCCCTGCTGGCTAAGTCTGCAAGTCGCGACCTGTTTCACCCATTAGGATCTTTTTGTACAGTTCTTCATTATCTTCTTGCTTAATTTCACTTCTTACTGGGACCGAGTGCTACAGCCGTAGTCGACGAGGCCCGCCCACGCCAACAAAAAAAGCACTGGTTTTGTACAGAAATTAAAGATGCAGATGTTGTTGACTTTGGTGTTATAGCACATGCAAGACCTACCTTTTCGCAGACATTACACAGCTGGCCCGATGTGCTCCCACAAAAAATTTGCTGTACATGTTTTCACTGCACTCATATCTCAAGTGTGGACGTCGATTGATATTCGGAATCGAGTCGACCTGACGAAATTTTACTTTTTTTTGCGGCTGTTGCTGCAAGCCAGCATGTTAGTTGACAGCGCATTCCAACTCCAGGGAAATACGTGCAAGGCCTTGCCACGCAATGCGCTCAGCGGAGGGTTTTCGAGCCAAAGTCATGCACGCAATTTTGGAGAGCTTCGATCAGGGGAGCGAAGTACATCGCGGCCGAGGAATACACCCATTGTGAAAGTCTCCTTTATCCCATGCGAGCCTTCCATGACCCGGAGCGTTTGCCGCTCATAGAGTCATAGAGCGGCCTCCCTATGTAGATGCATCGTAGGGCAGCAAGTGCTCACGTTCGATTTAATGGATGCCTCATACAAGAAAAAGCCTGTATCAAAGACTTCAGCAATTCGTTGCTTTGTTTTCGGCCGAGAGCGAAGCTGGGACGAGATGTGTTGTTGAGCATATCCTGGATTGCGGCCCAGTCCCTACTGTACTGTGACAGCAAGCCGCCGTCGCTATCAGCCATGAAGGTTCGCCGCTGGTTTGAGAATTTTGTTTTTTGTTTTGATTTTCTTTGTTTTGTGTTCAGAGGCATCTAATGTCGTAGTTGCTTTTTCCCGACGTAACACAAGGAGAAAGCTTTTGGTAGAGAAGAATGCCGACGTTTTGCTTCTGAACTAGTTCATGCCGCTTCTCTTTCAAGCGGCAGACACAAAGTTGTGATTTGTTTTTGTCTTCCGCGAACAACGTGTGGCACTGTATTTCTTCTTTTCGTCGTCAGAGACGACGCTTCGATTCTTTCGTATTTTTTCTTGTCTTGAAGCTTTCCTGATTAAGGTCAATTCGAGTCATTATCGTTCTTGGTATGTTGGTTGCGTGGTGACCTTTTGCATACAAGCTGTGTTTCGCGCGTTCCACTTTTGCGCCATCGACGTTGAGCAAACATACATAAACATACCAGAAAACCGAAAACCCACGTGATCGGGTCTTCAAAGAGTTTCGGTTGAGTTTTCATGTGAGAAAACGAACAGAAGTTGAACATTGAGACCAGTTGTTGATTTTGAAAGAAGTGCGGCATTTTGCAGCTGTTGAAGGGACATTTCATCTCTTCACCACTTGCTGCTTAAGAGAAAATGGCTTTGCCCTTAGTTTTTGAGCTCCGTGGAGAACCAGGGCAAAGATAAATTGGCACATTTGGCTGTGTCAGGGCAGTTCTTCACAGTCTTGTTTGTTGCCCATGATATATATATATATATATATAATATTTTTTGTTTTTGGAAAGAATGTGTGTGTACCCATTCTTCATTCTGTTCATGTGCCAACGTCAGCTATTCAGCTTTGTAAGTCATCGGCTGGTGTTCAAAAACGATGCCTTGCCGCAGATGTTTCATTTTACGGCCGCTGTCGAGTTGAATAAGATGTTTGCCGATGTTGCAATGGTCATACTCGCAGACCCAAATCGCTTAGTCTTGACATTGCTGTTGGACACATATACAGAAACTAGCATTCCAGTTTGCGCGCTGGCCATGGATCGAATTACCAATCCGGCACCAACGCAGCGATTGACATCGCCGCCCAGCTCGCCCACGTGTCTTTCCTGGGTTGATGTGCAGCATGTGACTGCTTTTTCAGGCTGTGCACGACACTGGATTTGAGTGACGGGACGTAAGTAAATGCACAGCTTTGCTCATTCTTCACTGTTGAAATTCGTTTGAGAATATACGTATAGGGTTGCCTTCATCCATTGACTGGGAAGGAGATTTTACAACTCCCTTGTCGGCCTTGTTCCAGGTCATGGTTGAAGACCAACACGGGCCCCATGTTCCCCAAAGACCGCGAGCCCGCCATCCGTGGTGAAAGGCTGCCGGCATGAAGGTTTGGGATCTCTCGCTAGGTGTTTTCACGCGAGTCTCGGATCAGAGCATTGCAAGACGAGACATTGAAGCTCCGGGATTCGGTGGAATAGCTGCTTTGGTGAGCCGTCTGGTGAAACGGGTCAGGCGGTCGTCGCTCCAGCATCCTTGCACGGTCTCTGCTGTTAGGAGGTAGGGATTCGTCGAAGCTTGATGTTAGCTGCAGCGAGCCTGGAAATTGCTTCGCATCGTGCCTTTTTCGAGGCCCCGCTACGACTGGGCCCGCTCCTCAGAACCGTTCGAAGTCGCGAGGAGATTCGGTCTCCAACTCGTGACAAGAGAGAGAGGCGATGGCATCCTGGGAAGTCGAGGTTTAGGCTTTAGGGCTCAAGCCAAAGATGAGCAAAGGTGTACGACCAAGCCGTGAATGCCACGCACGACAAGCTCAACGGTGTCATGCGCACACAGCTGGCCAGCGACTGAGCCTTCCCCAGAGAGCCCAATACCCCCTTAATTAAGCAATATACCTTAAATCATAAGGGGCTTCATATTATGATTTGAGCTATATTCCTTAATTAAGGGGTATTGGGCTCTCTGGGTCCAGGCTTCGGAGTGGGGCTTGGACGATTCGAGTCGGGCCGGGCTGGTGCTTAGGACGTCTGGCACTGCCCGAAGACCAACGGCACCCAGCACATCCTCCACGCCTCCAGCCACATTGTGGATACCCCGACGAGGCGTGCTCCTGTCACATCTCTTACGGCTCAGGCGAAATTTGCGGGCTCTTGTTGAAGGTAACCTAAGGTTCGTAGCTTCGAAGTGCTCGCATCACAAGCCACCCTTCCTTTCTCGCAGGCAGAGGATTGCACGCTGGTACAACAAGTCGTACCTGGAGTCGCGCGATTGGCATTTAGTGGCGAAGGTTGAGGGTGCATCTACGACGCCGCGGTCGGATTTGTCAGGCGTGGTTGGCTTCCTCTTCTGAGTCTTTTGAGTTCTGAGAACCCCAGGGGATCGATTCGAAGCATGTCGAACTTGTGGTGATGCAGATGATAGTCGGGCCACCGAACTCGCAGAGCCTGCTAGATTGAGCATATCGCGTTGGGGTGCAGAACTGCTTTTGAGATTTCCCAGTGCTTTTATGATGCGAACGTGAAGGGAGCAACGTGAGTGCGGAATCGACGTGCTGCAACGGAAAACATCTCAGCGGAAGATGTCAGCTTTCAACTGCATCTATCCAGGGCCTAAGGGCTCGGATCCACCATGCAGTTTCACCGCTGTTGCTTCTTGCGTTAGGATCCTTGGGCCGTTTGAAGATCGTAGTTATGTGTTGGAATGTTTGAAGGCACAGTTTCCACAGCAAAAGGCATACAGCACCAAACAACAATGCGGTGAGGGCACGGAGGCCCCCAAACGGGAGGGAAATAAGTTTGAGCCGAGGTGCGTAATGTTGCGCACCGAAGGGCTGTGTTCCCGCACGAGTAATAGCTTTTTAACAGCTGTCTGCGCGTCACTTAAGCATATGTGTTCCTTGTCGTCACCATGTCGCCACCAGGACCAGAACAATCACGCTGGCATAGCAGGCGTAGACAGTGACACAGCTACGGCATTCGCAACAGTCATAAATCATTGTACGTTTAGTAGTTTCATAAGCTGCACTCCGCTTGACAGGCCAGCATCCTCATAGTCGTCATCGTCTTTGGTTAAAATCACCATCAGGATCATCCTCAATCGCCTTATCTTCAGAATCGATGACATCATGTTTGTCTAAACTTGCATGTCCCTTTCACCAGTCCGCTTACCATCACCATAGCCAACACCTACACCATCATTATCGCTGCAATCGTCTTCATCATGGCAAGAAGAGCAGCCATAGTGTTGTTGGTAGTATGGAGTTTGACGACTGAATAAGACCAAGCAAGGCTATCACCTTCGGTCCCTTTATGTCCCTAGAATACTTCTACTATAAGCTTGCTCGGCCCACGTAGAATTCCCCCAGATTTGCTGGAGCATTTGCCTCGGTTCCCAGGCAGACGGGGCAGCTGCGCAACACCTACGATCCCTCGGCGACGGGACCTTTAGGCCAGAGTCGGAGGATTTCTGAGCCCTGAGTCAACCCTACAAGCTCAAACCCGAACCCTTCAAAGCCTGAAGTTTTGGAACTGTGACACTGCAAGCCGGTACGAGCCGTCAACTTCTGAGTTCCGAGGTCATTAGGATTTTGACAGGGTCGAGGGTGTAGCGGTCGGCTAGATTTCAAAGTAGCCTTCGGAAGCTGCTGCGTCCACTGCCACTGCCACTGTTACTGCTACTACTACTACTACTACTACTACTACTACTACTACTACTTCTACTACTACTAGGCCGTCCCCCCCTGGTGCGACGCCGGTCGCAGAGTTCTTGGATGAACATGATGTCCCATGACAGCTGTCGAGGTCCAAGATGCGGCGTAGCAAGGACAAGGATCGCCCACACCGCTGCAGTAGATAAACATGGATGCTCTCCAAACCCAAATGCGCTAGACCATGGACGTCATTAGGTTTTGGACATGGATGCTCTCCAAACCCAAATGCGCTAGACCATGGACGTCATTAGGTTTTGGACATGGATGCTCTCCAAACCCAAATGCGCTAGACCATGGACGTCATTAGGTTTTGGACATGGATGCTCTCCAAACCCAAATGCGCTAGACCATGGACGTCATTAGGTTTTGGACATGGATGCTCTCCAAACCCAAATGCGCTAGACCATGGACGTCATTAGGTTTTGGACATGGATGCTCTCCAAACCAAATGCGCTAGACCATGGACGTCATTAGGTTTTGGACATGGATGCTCTCCAAACCCAAATGCGCTAGACCATGGACGTCATTAGGTTTTGGACATGGATGCTCTCCAAACCAAAATGCGCTAGACCATGGACGTCATTAGGTTTTGGACATGGATGCTCTCCAAACCCAAATGCGCTAGACCATGGACGTCATTAGGTTTTGGACATGGATGCTCTCCAAACAAACGATTTGAATGAAAATCATGATCAAAATGAGGCACAAAAAACCTTGATTCTGATCGCTAGGTTTTGGGCACGAAAATCGAGACACCCAAAAACAGTAAAAAAACATGAAATTCGCAAAGACAAGTGCTGTAAATACCAGCATTTTCGTGTGCGACATTGATGAACAATGTTAGAAAATATGATAAAAATACACACGAAACCAGGAACAGTTGTCACTTTCGATAACTGCGGAAAAAAAGTGCTGCAAAACACAGCATTTTCGACCACAGCAAGTCCCAAAAATAAGAGGTTTGGGCGTCGCACCGGGGGGGGCAACCCTACTACTACTACTACTACTACTACTACTACTACTACTACTACTACTGCTACTGCTACTGCTACTCCTACTACTACTACTACTTCTGCTACTACTACTACTACGACGACGACTACTACTACTACTACTACTACTACTACTACGAAAAGACTACGACGACGACAACGACGATGACGTGACGAACGACGACGACGACGACGGGAGAACTACCACGGCGGTGGCGACGACGACGACAGCCAAACCAACTGCGCCACTTCTGCTGCTGCTTCCACCACTCTGCTGCCACTAGCACAACCACTCCCACTCGCCCTTCCCCTACGCCTGCCACTGCCACTGCCACTACCACTACACCTACGAGCACTACTGCTGCTCCTGCCGCTGCTGTCGTTCCATCTCCTCCTGCTCCTCCTCCTCTCTTCTGTCTGCTGTGAGTACTGCCACTGCCGTACCAATTATTGCATGCTAAAGTTACAAGGACAACAGTAACACAGTCCACGATCATCCGCCACATCAACGCTAAGCCCCAGAGAATCGGAAACCTCGATATGCACCATCACGAGCCACTGCAGGCGGAGGAGTCACCATTAGCCACGATGGCACGGTGCGACCGTGCCTCTACCTAACTTGTGCTCGTTGTGTTCGTGGTTTAAAATGAAGATGCTTGGTGGTAAAGGGTGTCAATGTTTGGTGATGTTGCATTATGGTGTAAAGGAAGCTGTTTTCCTGGCTCGGGTTAATTCAGAGTTGCTCGCAAGCGCCCCGCTTTGATTCCAAGCAGAACTCAATGTTCAACAGCTTCAATCCGGAGCCTTCGATTAAAGCCTCCCAGGGTTCTGAAGCTGCGAAGGCCCGCAGAGCCGTCAAAGCTCCGGATGAAGCCCAATCCCAGACGACAGACACTCCCCCGGCCCCGACCGCATTCGGTAAAACGTACCAAATCCATGCAAAGCCCAAGATCCTCAACCCGAAGCTATGTTTACGGGCCCTCACATCACCTGCCGCTTCAAGGAAGATGCAGCGTTCCTCCACGGCCCCGGGCGGCGGGCTGAGGACCCTGCAGGCTGGACCTGCGGGTTCATGAGGCTTAAGGATCATGAGGGCGTTTACGTGCAGGGATCCTCGGGTGTCCTTTAAAGGTCCCCTTTCGTTGCTGATTGCCTGGGCCATTGCTTCTTGCAGGTCGTTTTGATGGCTTCATGAACTGCACCAGGGTTAAGGTATGTTCTTGTATGATGATGTAGAAACTTTAAACGGATGTTCTTACCAATTGTTCATGTCCCGATGCTTTTAGCTCGAAGCTTTGAGCCGAATTTCGGCCCGGCAGGTGGCCGGTGAGAACTACCTGCCGCCGTGGGTGAACCGGAGCCAGTACGAGCTAAGCCCTAAGCCCTTGAACTTGGGAAGGCAGGTGGGAGTTTCCGATACTAGGGGTACCTTATTTTGGGGGTTCCTTATAATAAGGATCCTACTCTTTAGGGTACTATATTAGGGTCCCCTATTTTCGGCAACTCCCAGGTGTTTTGGGGTTTGTCATGGCGGTGTCAGCAAGTTCGAGGTTTCGGGGAGTTGGCTGTGCTGCAGCTGCATCTGTGGTGGTTGTGGTGCATCTTGGGGTTGCTTCTGTGGTGGTTGTGGATTTGATTTCGACTACGATCGTAGTTGAGTTGCGCCTGCGGATTTGCTTTTTGTTGAGTTCATGCTTTCGGTTGTGATTGTAGCTCTCTTCGCTATACTGGGCGGTTCTATGATCATGTACATGTACATGTTATTTTCGATGTATTTATCTAAAACGCTTTTCCCTGTACCTCGGTTTTCGAACCTTTTTGTTCCTTTCGTTGCCGCAAATCTTCTGGTTCTGGTTGCCTTTGCTCCTCTGATTGGTCATTTTTGTTGCGGCAGTGGCTACTGCTCCCATTGTTGTTGCTGCGTTGTGACGGTAACCTTGGAACCCTAAGCCGTACACCTCAAACTCTAAGCCTAAGCCCTCAACGCTAAGCCGGGGCTTGAACCCTGAACCCTAAGCCGTAAACCCACACGAAGTAGGGCTTATATTACCATTTTGGTGAGTGTAGATAGGGCTCCGGTTGAATTTTGGTGAGTGTATGTACTGGGTTTTATTATGGGGATACTAGTGATATAAACCATACTCTACATAAACCCTGAGCCCCATGTTGCCGACGACTTCGACCTCCGAAGGTCTGACTTCGAATCCAGACTCTGAAACCGAAGGCTTGAAACCTGCTTGGAGGATCCATGGGACTTACTCCTTAAAGGGATCTATAAGGGTTACTTAAAGGGATCTATAGGGTTTAGGGTTTAGGGTCTACTTGGAGGATCACGGGACTTAGTAAGGTTATGAGTACCTTAGTTGGGGTTATAAGTATGGTTACCCTGATTATAACCCTAGCTACTAAGTCCCATGATCCTTTATACGTGAGGGCAAACTGCCGGCCATCGGGGGCTTAAAGGCTTAGGGTACCAGCAGAGAAACTACAAAGGATACCATCAGGGATCCCAGCAGGGTTTAGCGTGTAGGGCCCTTTAAGCGGGGAATTCAGAGCCGTGCAGGTTCAGGCTTCAGGTTGGATGCGGTATCGCCCGGAGGGTTCACGCGCGTCAAATCCCAAAGTTCCTCAAATGTCCGAGGTTGGTGA